ACTCGACGACCTCTACGGAGTTTTTGCTCGTCTGCTAACAAGTGTGATCCAAAATATATTGACCAAAAAATCGGGGAGGGCCAGGTGGAGAACGATATTTGGAATTTTCAATTTTTTAACATTTTTTTTAACTACTGGATTGAGAGGGAAATTCAAGCTCGTTTTTGGCGGGAATGCATTTCTCGTTGAATTGTTTTTTAAACGTTTTCTGATTTTTTTTAGAGAAAACAGAGAAGTTGTCGTTTAAAAAATACAAAAATGCAAGTGGATGTAAATTTCCTGAGAGGCTCTCTTCAATTTCCCTTGAATCTTTCTCAGAGCTATCCAAAATCAAAAATTCCAAAATTCGTCATCACCTACTTGTCTCCGTCATCCTCACCGTCAACATACGCTTCATCGGACTCTCGCCTTTCGATTAATTTAAATTATTCTTTCCTCATATATATATATATACTTTTTTTCGCTTCTGTTTTCGGAATAAAAACTTGAAAATCGTAAATTAATTCCTCTCGCTCCGTAGTTAGTTGTAAATTCCACAAGTAATTATTGTTAACAGCACAAAAATATTAATTTCCGGGTGAAATCGATAATTGTTACGATGTAAAATAGTGCGATAACACAGACCATCAACTAACGAAGCGAGATTTAAAGATCATCACGTCATTGAAAAATAAAAATTTCCATTTATCATTGAATTGACAAATTCTAAATATAGATTATTAAATGCAGCGCATTTGAAGAGAGTATTATTGCCACATTATTGTCATGTGAAATTATGAATCATAATTAAATAACTGATGCTAATGATGTGTGGCATAAAGTTTATATAGAATGGAAGAAAAATTTTTCTCTATTGTTGTACAATTGTATAGAAAAATTTTTTAGTGATAAGGCAATTTAATATTCGAGAGATATGTTAGTTTATGGTCTGAAATTATTTCCTAGTTCTTTTTTTTGCCAATTTTATTTTCGATTTGTGAGGGTGGAAACTGTTCGTCGACGGAGATAACAAAATTTATTAGCATTTCCTTAATTTTCTTCATTTTCTTCATTTTCATTGTATCGTTTGGGTGTTCAAAGAATATTTTTAATTATCCAGAGATAATGAGGAAAATGTATGAATGGTTAATCAATATCGATGCTGACCTTTTCAACACAGGATATCATTCTTTTCAATTTATATTTGATCTTTTAATCAGTTTTAACCCTTTGATTTCAATTGAGGCTTGATATTAATGCGGGAATTGATGAGTGGATTTTTTTTCTGCTATCTGCAAGCCTCAATTTATTGGAAAATAGGGAAGAACTATTAAAATTACAATTCTCCGTCGACGAAAAGAGACATCTCGTCTGATTTCCCCCAACTTTTTTTCCTCTACCTATTAAATATCTCGGTCTCATTGATTTCAATGTCTACTGCGTACATTATCCCCTCGTACTAATGCTCCATTTATTTACTACGAGATTCCTGAACTTTTCGACTCAAGTTTTTTTTTTTATAAAATTGATAAAAGATCACGAAAAAAAATCAACCGAATGTTTTACTGTGTAACCAGGATTCAATGAATCTGATGGAGATGAACAAATTGTTAATTCAATGGAAAATGTATCACTTAAGTGAAAATTTCAGGAAATTAATCAATAAAATGATGATGAAGGATATGTTATTCCTTTTTTGGAAATGGCAACGCAGTGCGAGTTTATGGAAATCATGTCGGAAATTTTAGAGTGACAAACTGTCGAGGATAGATTATTTCTAGATTACTCGGAATATTTCGAAGTTCGTGGATCTCATAAAATTTCAACATCTCCCGAAATTCTTACAAATCATCGAACTCCGAGGATATATTCGCGGATTAATCTCCAAGAAATTTTATCCATTCTCTTCTCGTTCTGGACACTCTACTAAAAATAATAATCGGCTGTGTAAAACGCCGCTGAAGAGTCACTATAATGTGCTCTCGTGAATAGAATCATGTCGACTAAAATAAAATACACTAAAAAAAATTATTGTGATATGCGACTTATTGTGATACAGCATATAATTCCAGTTGATAATTCGGTTGTAAAGA